TTATGAGTAATATAATTTCTTTTCATCCCTGTATTGTATTTCAGGTGAGACATATGCAGTAGTATGTTAATTTGTGTCACTCCTGGTTATTGTTATTTTTACTCAGACCTTCAGACCATCAGACCATCCAAGGTGGACATGAAAGACTGGGCGAAATATCTTCAATTTGTAAGAAGGGTATTGAATTAAGTGAAAGTTTGACAAAATCTAGTGATGATCCGAAAATTATAGTTGACGGTCGAAAATATAAGTTCCCTTGTGGGAACTGTGATAAGCCAGTCAAATGTAATCAACACGGCCTTCTGTGTTCTTATTGTAAAAAATGGTTTCACACTAATTGTCAAGCTATCAGTTTTTCAGAGTACCGCAGGTTATATTATGAATGCCCTGATGAGAAGTGGAATTGTTTAACATGTTGTCTGCCATCTTTTTGTGACTCATTATTTAACGACGATTGTTTAGAGAAAGAAAGCCAAAACGAGGATAGACTAAAAGAAAACTATTTTAAGATAACGCGCGTTACACCTGAAAAGCAAGCGATAGCAAGAGTAATTCAGCCAAACCTCAGAGATGAAAACACTTCTCTTTATCAAGAATTTGAAGAAAAGTTTAAAGTTAAAGGTCTTCATTTTTTACACCTTAATGTGAGGTCTATTCTAAACAAGATATCGGAACTTAGAATTCTTTTTAAAAGAAAAAGGCTGTCTATTATTGCTTTCACTGAAACATGGTTAAACAATTCCATAAATGATGAAGAAATTGAAATAGACGGATATAAAATCATACGCCATGATCGATCCTCTGGCTCTGGAGGTGGTGTATGTTTCTATATCAGAAATGATATTGCATTTAATATTATGGATGCTATAAGTACTGGAGATACGGAATCCCTGTGGATAAATTTGCTTATACCAAGATCAAAACCAATTGTTGTTGGTGTTCTGTATCGACCTCCGAAAAACAATTTGTTTATCGAGAAATTGTCCAATATTCTTGATACATTAAAGAAGGATGACGAAATAATTCTTTTAGGAGACATGAATATTTGTCTTCTTCGCAAATCGCCACTGGCTAAAAAATATATTGACTTGTTGAGTCTTCATGGGTTTAGTCAACTCATTAAAGAGGCAACACGCGTTACACCTACATGTTCTTCTCTATTGGATCATGTTGGTTGTACCAAAGAAAATAAAATAAGTCAAAGTGGTGTCATTGATCTAGGTATTAGCGACCATTATTTTACTTTCTGTACACGGAAAAATGTTAGACTGGCTATAGGTCATCACAGGACTAATGATATCAGATCCATGAAAAATATACAGAAGAGTCTTTCAATCTTCAACTATCTGTTGTTGATTGGTCACGAATAACTGACTGTACAGATGTAAATGAGGCATGGTCAATATTTCAACATGTTTTTATCTCAAATTTGAATATGATAGCGCCACTGAAACGGATAAGAATAAAACAAAGATCAGAAACTTGGGTGACTAAAGATATTCTTTCCCTAATTCAAGAGAGAAATATAGTATACAAAAAATGGAGGAAAAGAGCAAAAGATGAGAAGCTCTATAAAAGATACAGAGTATTAAGAAATATGGTCCAAAGAGAGGTGAAAAAGGCTAAACTCGATTACTTACAAAACAAGATAGAAGAAAATAAACAAGATTCGAAAAACTTTGGCAGAATCTAAAAAGCTTAGGATTGAAAAATAAGAAGCGAAAAGAACAAGAATCTGTCATTAAAATTGATGGGGAATTATGTCATGATAAGATGGCCATCGCTGATGAATTCAATTCTCATTTCACAAATGTGGCTGCCAAATTAGTAGACAAACTCCCCCCTTCCAAAGACTTTTTCAGCGCAGACAATGATTGTATTCGTGACTTTTACGAAAGAAAAGGTGTACGTGAAAACAGCTTCGAGTTATTACCAATCAGTGAACAATTTGTTTTCAAAGAGTTACGTAAGTTGAATGTATCAAAAAGTACTGGGTTAGACTTGATTCCAGCTAAATTTCTAAAAGATGGTGCGAAGGTTTTATTTAAGCCTCTAAGTTACTTAATGAACCTATCTATCTTGACGAGTACTTTTCCAGAAGATATGAAAATAGCAAAAGTGACTCCACTTTATAAAAAGAAAGATAAAACTGATGTTAGCAACTATAGACCTATTAGTGTTTTAAGCGTAGCATCAAAGATTCTAGAAAAATCGGTCTGTGTTCAAATTGAAAGATACTTCAAAGAAAATGATATAATTTATGAATTTCAATCTGGTTTTCGACATGATTATTCGACTGAAACATGTCTAATTCATTTGACTGATTATTTGAGGAGAGAAACTTCCCAAGGACGCTTTGTTGGTATGGTGCTCCTTGATCTGCAAAAAGCTTTTGATACAGTTAATCATTGCGTCTTATTGAAGAAGTTACAACTAATGGGTTTTGATAAGGCAAGTTTAGATTGGTTCAGATCCTACTTATCTAATCGGCACCAAGTAGTGGCCATTCATGATATTCGTTCCAAACTAATGCCTATAACATGCGGTGTTCCTCAGGGAAGTATTTTAGGCCCAATTCTATTTTCAAGTTATATAAATGATATGTGTATTTGTATAAAAGACTTCAAACTATTATTGTACGCAGATGACAGCGTACTACTCTATTCAAATCCCGATCCTAAATATATTGAGGAAAAGCTCAGTGAACAGCTGTCTACGTGTGTCGATTGGATGACTGATAATAAGCTTTCTTTACACTTGGGAAAAACAGAAAGCATTTTATTTTGTTCTAAAAGTAGTTCTAAAAAGTCATTTGAATTCAAAGTGACACACAATAATCAAGCAATCAAGAGAAAAGAGTCTGTGAAGTATTTAGGCATTGAGTTGGCTAGCGCAATTTCATTTTCATCTTTAGTAGAATCAGTTGTAAAAAAGGCAAATTCTCGTCTGAAATTTTTGTACAGATATCAAAGTTGTATGGATTTAAAAGCAAGACGTACACTCTGTTTTGCTCTTATTCAATGTTTATTTGACTATGCTAACCCTGCATGGTACAGTAACATAAACAAGTCAGATCAAAAGAAGTTGAAGATTATACAGAACAAAATGGTGAGATTTATCAACTGTTCTGGTCCAAGAACTCATGTTGGCTATAGCGAACTTTCTAAAGCTGGTTTTCTTGAAGTCGACCAAAGATCAAAACAACTCGCATTGCATCACGTGCATAAAATATATCATACTAGGGCGAATCATTATATTCGATCCAACTTCGATCTTGTTACTGACGTACATGATTATAATACAAGAAATAGACGATTCAACTTTAACTTACCAGAAAGAGTAGGTAGTATTGGAAATTCGTTTTATTACAATGCCATAAAACATTGGAATTCCCTTCCCAATGGTGTAAAAGAAATAGGAAACTATGATCATTTTAAGAGGAAATTAAAGGAATACCTAATACTTGACAGTCAGAGAAGAGAAGTGAATGACATGTTATATGATTGAAATTGTTATTCTTCTGTCGGTTCATACTTTTTCATGTTGTATATACTTATGTTTTCGTACGTTATAGAAATTCTACAAATTCATCATTATTTTCCTCTTCTTCCTTCTCCTCTTTTTCTTCTTCTCCTTCTTCTTTTTCTTCTTGTACTTAATATCATTTCTATCATCAGTTTAATGTTGTTATTATTATCTTTAATAAGTAGTTCTTTTAATTTTCTTATCTGTCTGTAAATATTACTATTTTAATTTATTAATTGTATACATGTCTGTAAGGGACCCCACTGGAAATAAGCTCTCGAGCTTTCGTGGGTTATCCTGTTCAAGCTGACTTATTTTTGATCTGTTATTATTGTATATTGTTGTATATTGGAAGCTTGTCGAATAAAATCAATCAATCAATCAATCTACTCAATTATCTACTTTATTCATTATTTGTTACAGAAACGAGCCGTGCGTATTATTACTAAATCTGATTATTTAGCCCCATCACGGCCACTTTTTGTTAAAACACAGTCCCAATTTTTGAATTGGTTCAATTTAATACTCGCATATTTTTGTTTAAATTTCAAAATCGCCTATTGCCAGAAATTCCTAATATAAACCTTGTTATTAATAGTGATATTCACTCGTATTCTACTCGTCAGAAAAATGATTTACATTTATTTAAAGTTCGTACGGCAAATGCACAAAATTCTTTCTATTTAAATGGCATTAAGGAATGGAATAATTTAAGTAATGATATTAAGGAAAATACAACTCTTTTTCGATTTAAAGTACGATGTACACAGTTATTATTTATTGATTTATGTAAACAAGTTTGAGCTAAGGAGGATATTTTGAATGTAATGTGTATGTGTGAGCGTGCATGTGTGTTTGTACCATAGAGATATATACTACTAACCTTATTAAGTATATATCTCTATGGTTTGTACGTATCATGTTATTTTAAAGTTTTTAAACTGTATAATTTATGTGAAGTTTGTTTTTCTTTTTAAGGCCCCACCAAAAGCAATTTGTTTCTAAGGGTGTCCTTTACCGTATTATGTTTACTATGTTACTCAATTGTATGTACATGTTTCATTTTTATGGTTAAAATAAACTAAACTGATATACACTAGAATACTTTGAAATTTGTTATCCAATGTACAAAAATTGAGAATGATCCTATCTGTTTGGATTGAAATCAATAAAGTTTGTATTTGAATTTGAATTTGTAACATGTAACAGTAGTGGTGATGCAGATTTTTTTCTGCCCCCCCCCCCCCCCCCCCCCGAAGAAAAAACATTACTCCACTGGTTACTGCCATTTATTATATAGAGATTTAAACATCTCCAAAAAAGAAGGGGGAGAAGTCTGTAAAGATTTGTCTTCTCTACTACACCGTACAGGTTGCATAGAAGTCCTGTGCAATCTCACGCACTAGACGCTGGAATGGTCAAATTTGACTAATAGCCATTATAATACCAAACGAACAACAAAACAACATACATGCAGCATGCTGTACGTACCAATCATAACGGTACCACTGTATGAGATTAGTGTTGTGTACATTAAACACGACTGCTACGCTTCAGCTCAGCTAGGCCAAACACGGAACATAAGGAAGTTGTAATATTGTTTCTTTGGTAAGATACTATCCAGTTATGAAATGTCTTGTGTCTATAAAGCTAAAGGAATATGCCACATGCATTATGATCAATTGTAAGGCTAATACTTAGCATGACTAGTCTAGTCTTAGACCGAAAGAAAGTTTCAGTCTCTGAGTCTGATATCGACCATGTCGACGGTGGTTCCAATTCCGCTGAGATTGCATCTGGCTCCACTGACCGCCTCTAGATCAAGCCTCTAGCCTCTATGGCTATGGGGAATGCCAATAAATGTCAGTTTTATTAAAGAAATGACCCATATCAGACGGTTATTTCTGTCTAGACTAGTCTAAGCTAAGTGTAAGACTAAAAGAAATCATCGGTGAAGTTTTCTAAATCAAAGTTCAAACTGTTGTTGTTGTTAAAGTTGATACTCTAAGACAATCCCAAATACTGAGATAATTACATAAATAGAAAGCTTTTAACCCCCATAATAACACCAAATGGTGTCCACCCGACAAAACAAGTTTAGAATAATGAATTTATTTGAGTAAACTCTACCAAAATATCTAAGTCTGAAACCCGGAAGTGCACGTAGAGTCAGGCCTCTATCCGCGACGTCACGAACGGGAGTCATGGGCTCAGTGAGAGTGAATGGCAGTGATATCCCTACGTAAATGCTATCCTGTCAGAGCTTAGATTTGTTGTTGTTAAGGAGTATATTTGATGGATTTTCTGTTTTCATTTGAATGAAGAATAACAAAGCAACATTTTCCAGTCGCTGATTTCTTTTTATATCCTCATATTCACCTATTTGGTAGAGATTTAAGACGAGTTTACTGCTTAGGAATTAAAGTTAAATCGTGCACTTATGAATAGGCGGATGCATTGTATTGTCATCAGATGTACATGAGCAGTTTTGTAAAACGAATAGGTCTAGAACTATGATAGTACTTATCATAGATGTGTGTGACTGCCTCAAAAAAGGATACAGTACCAGTTAAACATTTTATGTTGTAAAATATCAAACTTGAACGAAATCATACAAGCGCGCTTCCTCTATAATATTTTGGCGAGTGATGCGGCTCTTGCATGAACGTTCGTGGAGCGAGCAGAATCGGGAGGTAAGACCAAGCCGCTGCTCTAGGCGCTGCTTGCTTGTGATGGAACGTACGTGCGCTAGTTATATGTTTATCGGCAATTGCAAGAGAATGAAAGCGACGTTGCCAGCTAAGAAAAACAACTAACAAAGACTTGCTCCTGACTACCGGTGTCAGAATTGGTAGATGAAGGATGTTCAGGGCCAAGGAAGGCGAAAGACATGGGAAAAAGGAAGAAGAAACCATCGGGAGATTGCTGTAGTGTATGGTAATGAACTGTGCATGGGTAGACAGCTACTGTTCACTCCGTGCCTGGGCCGATTTCAACACCAAAACAAAAATTACATCGACTAATAGCACATCATTGGCATGTATATGTCATAATTTTTAAAAGGGGAATTGATATTAATACTATGAAGTACTAGGGGAAGGTAAAGAATTGTACATAGAATTATGATTTATTAGACTTTTCAGCCTTTGAAACAAAAATATGCAGAAAATCGTATCACTCTGCACATGTTTGCTATGGAACATCCGGGTACGTGAATATACTCTCTCCCGGACGTGAGGTCATAAATAGTAGACCAGCGTCGTGACTGATTTTCTATGCAAAGAGAGGCGGATATTTTAGACATTTCAATTGAGGATTTCGAGTAGACAGAATTTTTTTGTGATATACTAAGTAATTGAAAAACTTAAAAATAACATATACTTGCCGTAGGTAACAAATTAAGGGACATTTATTTGCTTAGAGTATCAACTTTAATGTTAGACAGAGTTGGACCACTCGCATACAAATCTAACTTTTACAATTACAAATACAATACCAATAATGCTATCAGTATCAGACGTGATGTAGCATCACCAGGAAAAGAAACATGGAGGCATTGTATGAAAGAATGCAATTTTGTTTTTAAAGAGCATGTGATGATGTGCTGAGCTGGGGGTAGAATCTAGAGTCTAACTTTTAGACCGAATTAAGTTTCTGTCTCTTTCGTTTGTTGCCTGTGATCTGGGTAGGGTCACTCCAGAGTCAAGCAAAGCATAGAGAGTCAATGCTAATGCGTATTGACCTCTAGCACTGCACTACGTGTTAATAGGCAGCATTTTAAATACATGAATAGTCTACTACTAGTCAATACACTCACAACACACAGATGCACACAATTATGCCGATGGGGTTGATCGGTAAGTTTGACAGTAGACTCACAATTTGGATTTTTAAATTATTCTTTCTAACATCGGAAGTTGAAAAAATTGTATTTTACTGCTATTTAGGTGTCATCAATTGTCACTAAAGTACTGATTTTAAGTGAAATCAGTTGAGTTTTTAAAACGTTGAGTAGATCTATCAATAGAAGAGGTTTTGATACACACAGCCAGGATAGTATGTGTGGGGTGTTAAAATTGAACATTCTTTTTTTTCAGACATTTCTAAAACTAGTGGATGAATCTTGAGTAAGATGGCTGCACCTCCAGACTTAGCAACATCAGCTGTCATGGTCCAGAGCTCTGAGATGCCAAAGGATTCTGTAAAGGTCAAAGGTTATGATTTCAACGAGGGTATTGATTATCACAAGCTACTCCAGTCATTCAAGACATGTGGATTCCAAGCAACAAATCTAGGACTGGCTATTGAGGAAATTCAAAAAATGGTATAATATGTAGTAATTATATATTTGATTTTGTTTTTTCTTCTTCGTAACACGTACAGTATATGTGCGTGTCACAACTTTCTCTCTCAATATGCTATGGTCTACACTATTGGGTATGGTTGAGTAGATAAAGATATGTTTGCTTAAAGCATATTTGCACTAGTTAAGCCAGGAGGGATTAGACCTCCCTGCATGGTCACTGGCAGGTGGTTATCTCATCAAATCAGCTCTCAATTAACATAAGAGGGACCATGGGCATGGGGGACCAACAGTCACCAATTAGGTATTGTTTGTTATATAGAGGGTGCAAGCAGCTATAAGTAGTGCAGTGGGGCTTTAAGCTACTGAACTTCAAATAATAACAGTAAAAGTCTAAAAATGCAATTTGAATATGAGATAAATTAACTTCTTACCTCAGCCATTTACTTGGTAAATTTCTTACTTATTCTAAGTATTGAATTGAATACTGGCCCAGAACTTCAAATAATAACTGACTAGTTTAATCAAACATTCAAGATTATCTGGTGGTTTAGGTGCTAGTAACTCTGATTTATAGGTCTCTAGCTTGATGTCTTTTCTCGTAGGTAATGACACCAAGTTCAATTCACAAATGATTCATTTCAGATATCCAAGAAAGAAGAAGGATACGATGAAGAGGAAGCTAAGAAGGGAGCTGAGCTGAATCCTTGCGGGCGACTCAAGTCAAATTGTACCATCTTCCTGGGGTACACCTCCAACCTTATCTCATCAGGTCTCCGAGAAAATTTTAGATTCCTAGCCCAACACAATTTGGTGAGAAGCTAAGGTCTAGCTGTGTATGAGTTCAAATATATGTACAGATCATAGATTTGCTCTGACTCTGAGTGCATTTTCAATTGTCCGAAGCCCAAAACGCAGTGGAAAGGGCTTTTGACCATTTCAAAGTTATCTAAAAAACTAAGAGCCATGTGATATTTTTGTATAATAATGGATGTGTGTGCCATGGTTTATGACAAAATAGCAAATACAGTCAAACCTGCTTTAGTGACCACCTGTCTACAAAGACCAAACACATTTTTTGTTTCCCTTGAAAATGGTTTCTCATTGAATCATGTACTAAAGGATCCTGTCTACAAAGACTACCTGTCTACAACAAGCACATTTTTTGTTTCCCTTGGGGGGTTGCTGTAGACAGGTTTGACTGTATTAGGAATCTAAACTGATTTAAGAACAAACTTGTTTTTAGCTGAAAGAGTTTTGGCAAGTTCATTATCTCTATCCCTTTTATTTCATTTTCATCTCTATACATCTTTATCTCCATCTCCTTTAAACTTTGTCTTCTTTTCTTTTCTTCCGTTACATGTAGGTCGATTGCATAGTTTCTAGTGCAGGAGGAATTGAAGAAGACTTCATCAAATGTTTAGGAGACACATATATTGGTGATTTCAGCCTGAGAGGTCGTGACCTGAGACCCAAAGGCATTAATCGGATTGGCAACCTGTTGGTTCCAAACGAGAATTACTGCAAGTTTGAGGACTGGCTGATGCCGATCTTGGATCAGATGTTGATAGAACAGAACACAGAGGTGGGTTTTGATGAGACACCGATGAGCCTGACACGCTTTACCAACTGAGCCAACTCGCGGAGACGGCGAGTTGGTTCAGTTAAAAGCGTCTGCCTGTCGACCAAAGATTGTGGGTTCGAATCCAACCCAGGCGGATGGCTGAAGCCTGCATTGTGTTTTTAACGAGCCGCTCCCCTGATTCATAGACGTAGGCGTTGTTACAATGGAAATCACTTTGTCCCTGGGATAGGACATTAAATGGAGACCCCGTGTAGAGGAGAGTCGCAACCTTTGCGCGTTAAGAGCCCACAGCACTATTTGTATAAGAGTAGGGGGAAACCCCAGTGTAGTGGTTCACCTGCATGCCCCTAATCAGTTATACCGGGAGGAGAGACCTTAGGGTCACAGTGAATCAGTTTGCTTTTCCCCTCCTAGGAACGGGTGATGCCAAATACGTAATAATGATAATAATTATTACACCAGTTTGACATAGATTTAACCCAAAATATGATATTGCTCCAAAGGGCATGATATATAATTATATACAACCAATTATTAGTTGTTGTTTTGTTTTTTAATCATGATAATCATATTGGCAGTTTCCATGCTCTTCAATGGATTTCATTCATCATCATAACGATTATGTGTTTATGTTACAGGGTATCAACTGGACACCATCCAAGATGATCGCTAGGTTAGGCAAAGAAATCGATGATCCAAATTCTGTCTACTACTGGGCATATAAGGTACATGTCATTCATTCTCTCTATGCCTTCTTTCATTCATTCAGTATCTCATTAGAGGTGTCGTAGTCACGTGGGTTAAAGGCATCGTTTAACAGTGTTAAATCTGAGATGCACGGCCCTACGTGTTATCAGTGTCTGTGATATGGCGTAACATTGAAGCCCTAAAAAAGTTGCGCTTCAAAATGATCATGAAGTGCCCAAAAAAGTAAAAAATCTTTGAGTGACTGGTATTACCATATTCTATTTCCCCAATAGACTGTAGTGTTATAAAAAAAAACGTTAAAGTTGATTTCGGTTTTCTAATCATAATATCTTGATTAATCAGACAGGCGATCGGCTTGCAGCATGAGCTAAATCCAGGATTTTGTTTCAGAATCTGAGACAGAGTTACCCAATCCCTTTAAGCACTTGACTTGAAATGCAAAAGTTGTGGTTTTGATCACCGACACAGCACCCACGTCCTTTGGCAAGTCGTTAATCTACATTTGCCACTCCATACCCAGGAGAGGAATGGGGATCCGGTAGGATGAAGAACGCCTTTGTGTTAGTAATTTCCATAATGCCCTCACGATGACCATATGGTAAGAATACTCCCCAGGGAGTGGAGATGGTGCACAGTGTGCGTGAATGAATCCAATGACTGGTGTAATAATATCTGTAAAGGGCTTAGAGATGGTTTATCATATTAAGTTCTAAATAAATCCAGATTAAGTATGAAGCTGAATGATTTTCTCCTTCATTTTTCAGAATAATATTCCAGTGTTTAGTCCTGCCCTAACGGACGGTTCATTGGGTGATATCCTCTACTTCCATTCCTACAAGAATCCTGGTCTAAGACTAGATATCGTAGAAGGTGAGTAAACCAGGAGGGTGTTTCACAAAACTTGTCATCAGTGACAAATGACAGCTTGTGTTGTAAGCTACTGAAATCCTTGCTTCTGATTGGTTATCAGCAGATTTGTCACTGATTTTTGCCATTTGTCATTGAAAAAAGCCTTTGTGAAATGGGTCCCAGTACCCCTATTCTCTTTATCTTGCTATCAATTCACCCTTGACATTTAAAGGGGAAGTCCACCCTTGACATTTAAAGGGGAAGTCCACCCTGATATGTAGTTGGTTTTCATAGATGCAGATAATGAGAGAAACACATCAGTGAAAATGTGATTAAAATCCGATGAAAAATAAGGAAGTTATGAATTATTGAAGTTTCAAGTAATCAAATTTAGAAACTCTGTGTTTCTTACGAGGTTCCCTTTGTACTATGCACTAATTTCCGACATAAAGTCATATTTTGATAATGATAGATAGAAAGTTGTTTGATAATTATTGTTATTATTTTTTTGTTTACACAGATGTCCGGAGAATGAACAGTCAGGCAGTGTATGCAGCACACACAGGAATGATCATCTTAGGTGGTGGGCTGGTCAAACATCATATATGCAATGCAAACCTTATGGTATGTAACTCATAAATAGCATGTACTGCAAGCAGCAACAATTATTATGATAATAATAATAATAATAATTAATGATGATGATGGTAATATTAAAAATGGGTTCTTGTATAGCACTCAATTCTGTCAGACTTGAAACTGCTGGCGCTCCACAATGCAAAACTTATGGTATGTAAGTCACTTAGCCAATACCACAGGTACACTTAATCAACTGTAATTAAAACCTGAAATAAGTATGAAACAAAAGTTTGCACAATCTACTTTTCAAGAGGGTTTTATTATTCACAAGTAAGGTATATGACACTACTCTGAGCAACATTTTTTAGTCAAGTTGTATTTCTATATTCAAAATAGATTTTTCCTTTTCGATAACTCAAAACAATAAAATTAGTTTTGTGCTTGTAATTGTTCTGAAGACATTGACCCTGCTTTCCCATGGCCCCTGCCATTCCACATCTTCTATAGAGGGCAGCATCATGATTTTGGAGTGACACTGGGTAGCAAAGTGCCGATGGTGTAATGGCAGGGGTTCCCTTAGTGTAGTTACTGTCTTGCAATTTCTCGCTACCACAACTATGGTATTTGGCCATTGAGGGCAGCATTGGCCATGGGTATATTCGGCAAAGGCACTTCCGGTCTCCATACAAATACATTGGGTCAAGAACTGGAAATTCCAATAGAAAGTATAGTTTTGGAGTCAATAAAGTATAACTAACAGATTACGGTGGTGCCTACATAGATCTCATCAAATCATCAGGGGAGTGCATTAAAAACCTGAACAATAGTTTAGTAAAGTAAGGAATTAGTTGACACCACTGTACATTCTCTATGGAAGCTGGAAGAAACCTTGTCTTATCGTCTTCCCCGGTATCTTATCTGCGCTTGTGCTGACCTGCGCAGTGTGGGAGGAAAGGGTCAATGGTTACTAGATAACGTAGGTAAATTTATTTTTTTTCTATTTTATACAGGTTGAAAAAAAATACTCATGATTTGTTGTAATAAAATAAACGAAGAAAAAAAAAACGTTTTTTTTTTTTTTTTTAATTCTTGATATTTTGTAGAGGAATGGAGCTGACTTCTGTGTATTTCTGAACACAGCTCAAGAGTTTGATGGGTGCGATGCTGGAGCCAGACCAGATGAAGCTATCTCGTGGGGTAAAATCAAAATGACCGCTTCTCCGGTCAAGGTGAGAACACAATATTCAATGTATGGGACTGAGGATAATTTTTTCAGCTCATGTGTTCTATGTACGGTAGGTAGAGAGTGTGGTCTTTTCAAAAGTGAACAATGAAAACGATACTGTTTGTGGATTTTTATTACTGAATCCCCCGAGGATGTCGCACAAGCTACATTCAAGGCTTGACGGACCACTCCAAGGTGATGTATGAAGACTACATCGAACACTTCCAGATGGACCCCTTTAGTGAGGAGACACTGGAATCTGGAGAAAATCTGACCAAGGAAATTGGTGAATCTAGAAGGAGGAAGTGGCAGGAATTCATTCAATCCACTGACATGACACATAGCAGCAGGAAGGCATGGAAAACGATCCGGATACTGGGCAATGACTATACAAAGGCCCAACCAAGATCTGAAGTCACTGCTGACCAAGTTGCCCATCAACTCCTATTGAATGGTCGGGGAAACCCTGACCATCACCCCAGAAGAGCCAGACTCCCTAAGGTCCCAGACGCTCTAAGCTCTCAAGATGACCCAGGCTTCACTAGACCGTTCACCATGGACGACCTGCTTGCTGCCATCAAAGCAATGAAAAACAACAAAGCTGCTGGACTTGATGACATCCTCTGCGAGCAGATCAAACAGCTTAGACCAGGCGCCCTCAACTGGCTTCTCAAAATGTTCAACGAATGTTTGGGCACCAACAACATCCCAAAGCTCTGGAGGAAATCCAAAGTTATTGCCCTATTGAAGCCTGGTAAAGACGCAGCCAGTCCAAAGAGCTACAGGCCTATCTCCCTACTGTGCCATACATATAAGCTGTTCGAGCGGCTTATCCTTAACCGCATCGCCCCATTCGTGGATGAACATCTCATTCCAGAACAAGCAGGGTTTAGGCCAGGAAAATCATGCACTGGCCAACTCCTAAACCTCACTCAGTTCATCGAGGACGGGTATGAGAGTAAGCTAATCACCGGAGCTGCTTTCGTTGATCTCTCTGCTGCCTACGACACCGTGAACCACAGAATCCTTACCAGGAAGATCTTTGAGCTGACAAAGGACGTGAGACTGACTGGACTCATCCAGACGTTGCTGTCCAATCGGCGATATTTTGTGGTTCTCAATGGGAATCGCAGCAGATGGCGCAGACAGAAAAATGGCCTACCACAAGGAAGTGTGCTCGCACCGTTACTCTTTAACGTGTACACGAATGACCAACCGATCCACCCAAACACCAGGAGCTTCCTCTACGCCGATGATCTCTGCATCGCCACCCAGAACCAGTCTTTTGTGAAGTTGGAGGAGTCCCTCAGTGATGCCCTGGCCGGTCTCATCCCATACTATGCGACCAACCACCTGAGAGCTAACCCTGATAAAACTCAGATAAGCGCATTCCACCTCAAGAACAGGGATGCCAACCATCAACTAAGGATCAGCTGGTATGGGAAAAGGCTGAAGCACACTCCCAACCCAGTCTACTTAGGCGTCACACTCGATCGCTCCCTTACCTACAAGAACCACATTGCCAACACAAAGGCAAAAGTTGGAGCCCGCAACAGCATCCTCAAGAAGCTAGCCAACACCAACTGGGGGACTGATGCCAGAACAATCCGGACGACAGCCCTCGCGCTTTGCTTCTCTGCTGCGGAGTATGCATCACCAGTATGGAGTAGGTCGGCCCATGCACCCAAGATTGACCCAGCTCTAAATTCATCTTGCAGAGCGATCACTGGATGCCTAAGGCCAACTAAAGTAGAAGACATCTACCTGCTCTGCGGTATTGCCCCTCCACACGTCAGAAGGTTGGTCTTGTCCCAGAAAGAAAAGGACAAACAAGAAAACAATCCACTCCACCCACTCTTCGAACAACAGCCAGTGGGCAAGCGGCTCAAATCCAGACACAGCTTTCTGCACTCGGTAGAGCCTCTTAATACTAGCCCTCACAACCAAAGGATGACTTTGTGGTCTAACCACCTTCAGACCACTCCACATAAACTCTCCCTCAGCCCGAAGGAATCCCTCGCAACCGGCTCCAGTGAGACTTGGCCTACCTGGCTTAGCCTCAACCGCCTAAGAACTGGCTACGGTCGATGCAGAGTCCTAATGCAGAGGTGGGGTCTAGGAGACGAACAAACGGCATGTGAATGCGGCCAGGAACAGACAATGGAACACCTGCTAGTCTGCCCACTCCTGCCAGAGCCATGCACCCAAGATGACCTGGAAGCCGTTAATTGCCGTGCTAAAGCCTGTGTGGACCACTGGACGGGACTTGTGTAGTGACTCGATAAGAAGAAGACTGAAACCTTATGAGGTAAAATCAAGATGACTGCTTCTCAGTCAAGATGAGAACACAATAGTTAGCATATGGGACTGAGGATAATTTTGTTCAGCTCATGTGTTTTAGCTATGAAGAGAATGTCTTTTCAAAAGTAAATGATGGAAACGATAATATTTGTGGATTTTTATTACTGAAATCTCACAAGAAACAATCAAGAAGACTGCTTCTCGTGTCAAGGTGAGAACACAATACTCAATATATGGGAATGAGGCTATTTTTTTCAGCTCATGTGTTTTAGGTAGGCAGAGAATATGGTCTATGGTATTCAAAAGTATAGATTGGAAATGATAATATTTGTAGCTTTTTTTTCCCTTGTTGTCATACAGTGCAAATAGTGCTTCATTTAATAAGTAGTTCTGATAGGGCCCTGAATTTTTTCTGTGCAATCTTGAAATCCATGTTTTAGTAAGATTTTGTTCTTAATTTTTGTTATAAAGTTGAAGTTTTGTGATAATAAATGATGATAAGTTTAATTTATATAGCGCAGCTAGAATATAAATATACTCTACTGCACTGTTTTTATACTCGGTGACTTGTTCATGTCTCTTAATGCAGGTGTACGGTGAAGCTACCATGCTGTTCCCTCTGATTGTAGCCGAGACATTCGCACGCTTTGTTCACTCGAAAGGGCACGAGAAAGAAGATCAGCCGCTGAGCAAGAAATCGAGAAACTCAGACTCTCACATTGCAACATAAAACCGAGTGCCTGGGACTGACTTACATCCCATGAAGACAGTGTGTGATAAAGACTAAGCATGCACTGGGATGGAAAACTAAAACTAATGTAACATCTTAGGAAGTGGAATGTGGTACATGGTGAGCATATGCTGTCGAAGACTTCAGACTTGTTGGAACATGGAATTCAACAAATGGGACTGAAGCCAAAAAATTGCCTTGTGGTGGCTACTTGTGCGAGCAGTATCAGACACATGGAGAGGTGTCATGGTCTAGTGCATACGTTGCTTGATTGTGGACTACATGGTACGCAGTTCGAGTCCCACTGCGGCACTAATGTCCTTTGGCAAGATATAAATCTACATTTGCCACTCTCCACCCAGGTGAGGTAAATGGGTACCTGGTAGGGAGAAATTCCTTGGATGCTTGAGCGCCTTATCATGGAACCCGGGGTAATGATATGGGAAAACTCCAATACTCATGAGGTTACCCTGGGTTAACGACATATTATTATTATCATTATTATTACATCTCAAAGACTGGGTTCGATTTATAAGAGACAGGTTGGGCGATATTATGAGGAACAAATATTCATGATGGTTTGATTAATATTTTGGGCCAATCTGAAGGCAAAAGAGGCTCTGTGTCGCGAAACCCAACCCCCATCATACAATGTGCCAAGTGATATGAAGTAATGGCCTTTGGGCGGAGTCAGGGGGTGACAGACCAACTATTTGGTCTGTTCAGAAACCCTTCATGCTATAGTCATAATGATAAAAATCATTGTGTATCCATACAGTCCAATTTCTCATGACTATTATAATTCTTTTGTATTCTGGTGGTGGTAACTAAAGTTTTCTTTAAATGCAAGAAGCTATAAATGAATAGGGTGTTCCTCAAAATGCCATGAAAAATGATGTACAAAGAACACTTGTGACACCATGACTACAATAAATTCCAGACCTGCCAACCAGTACGATTTAGTCGTATTTAGTACGATTTTTAGAAACAAATACGACAGTACGATTTTCCTTAATAAAATATGATTTTCAATTTTTTTTATTTTTTTATTTTTATTTTTTTATTTTTTTTAATATTTGTTTAATTAATATTTTGTGTGTGCGTCCGCCATTTTCAATGGCAAAATGTCCATGCTGTCCTGTAAAGTATCCTACAAGCATCTCACATTGGCAATTTGGGGATGTTTATTGGTTCATCGAACACACCAGTCATGACGAAATAATGCATATTCAACCAATGATCAATAAAAAAAAATTCTTCCTGTAGGTAGAAACTGTACGAGGCATTGATTCGCGTAACAATCCGTGTTTATTTTCAAGAATATAACTTTTGTCAGTAAAATACAACTTTGACACTAAAGAATACAGTTTTTGAACTCCAGAGGTTGGCAGGTCTGAAATTCAGTATTTGTATAACAGTGATGGTACTTTCTATCACAGGCAAATTCTCAGCTTGTTTTCATGATCAGTTAAAGGTACAATGTCCCTTTTGCAGCCATCCTCAAATGCTGTAGAACTTTGCAGGAATTATGAATATGCCATGTATGTCCTATCTGTGAAATTTAAACGTTAGCAGTGTCCTCATATTCAAATTTATGCAAGGAAACCCGTTTACTTGCTAGACTTCATTGTCAGACACTATTGAGTGACTGACTGGCTTTTTTTCTTCTTTGGTAATAACATACATGAAAATAGTTGTAAAGGGTACATGAGCATTTGTCTACATCAATAACCCACTTCTTGTGATGGCCAAGATTAAACTGATTGAATCTTTGCGCAGCATAAAACGTATGACCATTCGGTACAATTGTCTGAAAATCAAGACTATTACTTTTGGGCTCTATAGCCCTAAAGTCGATTTGACAACTAATAGTCGTTATTTTCCCACTTTTCATTTTTTTGGCCTGCAAATGATAATTTGGAAAAATGTGTTAGGTTTCATTACCTGATTTCTCTGTCACTGTATTTATGGTTTATTAAATAAATGCACAAACAAGATTCACATATTTTATCAGTGTATTTCATAAGTACACTTTTATTTTCTCTTTTAATTAGTACTACCGTATACATGCATTCCCAGTTATACAGCAAAATATCAAATCTATATAAAATATAAAGCCCTATAAAAAGAAGTACATCTTGCATTATTGTAATTTCTTTTAAGTTGTGTGACAATAGCTTTGTTTACAATACCCATAATGACACAGTTCATGAAAGACATATCTATGATAATGATAATACAAAAAACAAATATAATATGACATTAAATCTCTGATGATTCTTGCTATGATTATATCATACATGTATATTCCTTTAACCCAAGTAAATTTACTGGTAGATGATTAATATAATTGTGATTTTTTGATACAATTATGATACATAATTATAATATATTCATATTATTCTTTGTTACCTGGAAAAGTGTATAGAGTATACAGATTTGCAAACTTTGACAAATTAGGAATTGTAAACTTGTACAGTCGTAATCAATAAATGCTGGAATGTTCATTGGTCTCTCAAATGAATTATTCAAGCTGTTGTTAATGCCTGCCTGCATTACAATATTTTTCATATGAGTCGTACATTAATTGACACTTCAGAAATTATTCTCCCATAAATTGACCGTGTCATGAATCCAAATATTGACTACGGCGAGCCAGATGGGCTTGACCTCTCGACCTTCAGAATTATGAGTTAATGCCCTTCTGGCCCTCAGAGGGCAGTACAGCAATTCGAGGGTTCAGTGACACAAAGACGTAACTCCATATTTTGCCAAAATTAGTATTTGATATCAGAATGTTCAGAAAAATGTGGGCTTTCCAGGAAACGCAAAGACTTACTCCACCCAACATCCCATTGAAGTCAATGGCTAGTGAAACATAGACTTCAGGCCCAAGTGCTGAGTGACACAAACCACTTTTTCTTAAGATGGAGTTACACCTTTGTGTCACTGACCCCTCGAATTAAACATCACCTTTTTTTTTCTCAAAAGATTGGTGTGTATTTACATGCAACATACAAGACATTTTTACCCAAATACCTGCAGGCATGCTTTGGACAAACAATAATTGGTATACAAAATAACGAACATTAGAAAGCTTAAACTTAAAGGTAATACAAAGTTTTGGCATGGGGTCATGAATTTGGTTCAAATGAACATATTGGAAGCATATGCGATCCTACAATATTCAGTGATCGTTGTCGCGGTTAAAATCGAGTCTACAGTTATGAAATTGTAAATACCGTAGTTAACTCTTTATGTTGTATAGCTCCCCCTCAAGGTCAGGAAATTAATTAAGCTATAAAACAATGTTTCTTGACAAAAATCAACCTATTGGCTATTCTCGTTTGGAAATTATATATCACAACTACATATTCTGAGATTTTCATAGTTGCAGCTACCATGGTACGGTCGTAGGCGCTATTTGAAATTCATCAAAATTTACCGGGAGCACCGGGAAATGTTTTAAGGGCTAAATTTTCTAGTGCTTATAAAACATCCACAGGGGCATCTAAATATATCAAAATTGTAAAGATTCACTATCCACCCAATTTTCAAAATTTCCTTAAACTTTGTATTACTTTTAAGTACAAGTAGAAAAATTGTTTCTTCTTATCCATATCCTTCTAAAATATACTTTAAACACACACTATTGATTGTTCTTAACATAAGATAAGTTCTACTTCTAGTAAAGCATGTTTATGATGATTTTTGGAAAGTTTCAATGTCTAGTTTTACAAATAAACAATAAACCTCTTTCGGTAGTTTGAGCTTAAAGTACAGTTATTAACAGGTATTCTGGCTTGCCTTCAGAAGAAATGAATGAAATCATCACACTTTTACACGCTATCAACTATATTTGCAGTTAGTGCTTCTCAATTCCTGACATTTGATTCATGATCTACATTTATCAAACGACATGTATTCATCAATAATAATTTATCAGGCAGTTTAAATAATAATTTATCAGGCAGTTTAAATAATAATTTATCAGGCAGTTTAAATAATAATTTATCAGACAGTTTAAATAATAATTTATCTTGCAGTTTAAATAATAATTTATCAGGCAGTTTAAATAATAATTTATCAGGCAGTTTAAATAATAATTTATCAGGCAGTTTAAATAATAATTTATCAGGCAGTTTAAATAATAATTTATCAGGCAGTTTAAATGGCAGTTTAAATAGCAATTTATCATATGCTCAATGATTGTACACAGTGGTCATTTGCAAAAGAGCAACTAGTTGCTAACTTTGTATTACAGTACGCCCACCTTACTATCTTTCCCTGTTAGAATTAATCAACATTCATGTTCTTTATTGAAAAGCACATGAAAGGTTCAGAAATTGAAAAAAAATATATATATGTTATACAGTAGGCTTCCGGTTGCACCATGTGAGAGAGAGGGAGGATTGAGGAGTCCTGGAAAGGACTCTCAGTAATCTTTCTCGAGTGTGTGTAGTCCTGAAAAGGACCGTTGGTGTAGTCTTGAAAAAGACTGTTGGTTATCTTTCTTAGCTTATAGTTCTAAGGAGAACTATAGCGCCGGTTGGAGAGGATGGGTGGTAGGAGTGGCTCAACGTTTCGAACAGGTTGACTATCCGTCGTCAGGAGTCTGTATACCCTGTATATGTTTTAATGAGGTATATTTACTGGTCATAATGTAAAATGAGGTCAACAGACTGCAAAATTGCGTAACAAACAAAAAAGAAAAAGTACTCGTTGGAATGTGTGTCTCCACACCCATTCCGAAGACGGTACAAAGCATTGATCAGGGTTACAACCTAGTCACACCGACCACACCGAAAAAAACAGACCAAGCAACAAAAATAAATTACCCTGAAATTCCTGAATGGACTGTTCTTCAAATCATCATGACATTCATTATTTTCATTGCATTGCTACATTGTTAAAGCTTATCTGCCATAGTTTACAGGAGGGATTAGAGCGCCCTGCAAGGTCACTGGACCGGTGGTTATCTCATCAACTCAGCTCTCAGTTAACATAAGAAAAAGAGGATGATGGGGGACCAATGGTCACCAATTATGCGCAAGTAGCTACAAGTAGTGCAGTGGGCCTTTAAGATAAAAATGTAATGTCTCTGACAGCAATAATGATAGGGGAACATGTTGTCAGGAACTTGAAAAACTTACCAAATTTAATTGAAAAACAATGATTTTGAATCTCTCAACATGTTGCCAAATTAAACATTTTAGAGCTTATTTTCAGTTTTTCAATTCCTGTTTCTCTTCGCAAGCATCTGCCATATTTTGTAGGACTATGAATCAAAAGTTATTGAGCCGAACCACAAAATGTGGAATGATTGTTGCGAGAGGGTTATTCACTGGTGCCACAAAGTAGCCGACTCTGAATAATCAATCAAAGGGAACCCTGATTTCTAGTGGCGATGGATAATGATTCTCACAGAATCAAATAAAACATGCATGTAGGTTCAAGACTACAAATATATATTGTCTGTAAAATAATTTCTAAAGAAAATGTGGAATACCACGATAAAGAGAAAAGATAGGTAATTTAGCTAGTAGTACTGTACTCAAGCATACACGAAGCCTGCAGTCTAATAACAGTTGTGCTTTTCAGTAAATGTGATTTTTCACTCAGTTTTACTTACTTTTTATATATTTTTGCTGATCAAACAGCACATCTACATGTAGTACATATAACACAGCTTAAGAATTACATTAAGTCACTACCTCTCCAAATACAATGCATTACCACAACCAATCATTGTCTTTTAACCCATACTGCCCCAATGAGGCATTTTTTTCACAGACAGTACACATAAATTCCATAGAACAGTATTTTGTCTGGCATACAAGGAGTTAATAACTCCCTAAACCATTCTAATCCACCAAACGGGCAAGCTTCATCTGATTGGTGATGAAAAAGTGGGATATTGTTCTGTTTTAACAATCAGTACCCCCCCCCCCCCCTAAAAAAAATAAAAATAATAATAATAATTTTTAAAGATTTCAAAAAAATTGGTTTGGTAAGCTATCACTTGCCATGCT